GGCTAGCGCATGTTCGGGGGCGGGAGATTCCTGGAGACGGGCTTGTGTGGGCCGCCATGGCCGTGCTCCCCATGGGTTTTTCTTGGTCAGTCTTCTTGGCCCAGCGTATCAATGCCCGCTTGGTAAGGGAGGCATCTGGGATGGAAAGCTCTGTGGCGGTGGAAGACAGGGGGGACGGCCTCGTCATAGGTAAGAACTCCGCGCCCGTCTTTTACGTGCATGTGGACAACGTGGGGGTCTTGGGAGCTGACAAGAAAGAGGTCCAGAAGTCCCTGGATATTATCAGAAACGTTATTAACGCTAACAAGATGCAGTGCCACGAAGTTCAGGAGGCTGGGCAGGTTAGGGATGCTCTTGGGATCGAGTTCAACGGAAAGCTAAAGTGTTTCAGGCCTTCGGGAAAGCGATATTGGAAGATTCGTTTGACTCTGGAGGCGTTTTTGGAGGCGCCCAAGGTAACTGGAAAAGCCCTCGAGGTTCTTCTGGGACATTGTACCTACCTCGCTATGCTGCAGCGCCCTCTACTCTCCTGCTTCGCCTCGGTCTACAAGTTCGCTCGGAGGTACCGGCACTCTTGGGCCCTATTGTGGGCGACGGCGCGTGAAGAGCTCGAGGCGTTCCTCTACCTCATGCCCCTTATCCGCTCGGACTGGTCCCGGGGCTGGCTTGGGAATGTGTTAACGTATGATTCCTGTCCCGAGGGTGCGGGGTCTTGCGTTGCTACTAGGTCTTCTGCCTGGGCGGCCGCTCAGGGGAGAGTCCAAGAGAGAGCTAGATTTGTTCGTCGTGACGCTGCGCAGGCTCGTGGGCACGCGCTTTCTTGCCTCGACCCTGATGACCCGCTTGTGTTTGTGACGCCACCGCCGTCTCTCGATGACGTCTCGGAGCTCTGGGGGCAAGACTTTTGGTTTCCCGAGGTACCGCTCGAGGGGCTTGTAGGGAAAGACTGGAAGGTGCTTTTCTGTCATTCCTGGAAAAGAAAGATGACAGTACATGAAGGAGAAGCCAGAGCTGGAGTCCTTAGGATCGCTAACGTCGCTCTGGAACCTGGAGTTCATAGTTGTCGCCTTCTGGCTCTTGGGGATAACCTCGGAGTCACGCTCAGCTTTGCGAGATCCATGGCCCGTGCTTTTCCTCTTCTGGTCCAGGTTCGGCGAGCGTCGGCGCTGTCGTTGTCCCGTTACCTTTTCGTGGGATTCAGGCGGGTCCCGAGTGAGTTCAACAGCTCCGACAAGCCTTCAAGGGACCCTGGTCTGCGACGAGGGGATGCAGTCGAGTTGATCGTCACGCCTGATATATGTCGTCTCGCGCGAGACCAGCAGGGCTCCGTAGCCGTTTCGGCCAGAAATGAAGTTCCACAATGCTCTACTTCTGCATTGGATTGGGCTCGTCATGTCCTTGGTGAGGAAGGCGAGGAGAGCAGCGACGACGGACGAGAGGGAAGTTCGGGCGCCTCTTTGGCGGACGGACCCGTGGCCACTAGGAAAGAGGTGGCGAGCTACTCTACAACGGGGTCGCGACCGCCTCTCCCCGCCAGTACTGTTGGACGAGGCGGAGGGGAAGGCCGGCCGCCTGGAAGATTCGGGCGGCACGACCTCGGAGGAGGATGGCAACCCGTTCGCGCAGGAGCGCATGCTGGAGTGCGAGCCCCACCATGCGAGGATGGCAAAGGAGCCAGGTATGCAACGCGATTCGGTGCCAGGACGAAGCTCGGCAGGAGAGCGAACCTGGGCACAACATCGAGAGTCATATCAAAGCCTGGTCGCATACGTCGACGAGTGCAGGCTGGACACCGACAAAGTGCAGGACTTCAAGGTGGCCACCGTCGACTTCATGACCCACAGGTATATGCTGGGCCACGACGCGGGCATCGGCCAGAAGTTGATCGAGGCCTTTTTCTTCTTCCAGCCTCGCTTCGGCGGCCCTGCCCCGCCGCGGGCATGCACGCAGGTCAGACCTCCACCAGGGCTCGAAGATTGGGAACCAAAGCCGTTCCATCTTGTGGAGAACTCAGGGGTTTGACTGTATGGCTGCTTTTCTTCAGATTCTAGCCGCCGTGACAGATGGCAGCTTGTGGCAGTTTACTCATCGAGAAAGTGTGGGATTTTGTATGCAAGGCCGACCGTTCGGCCAAGACATTGAGAATTACCAGGTACGCCATGCGGGTGCTTCCTGGACATGTATCATAAGCATCGCAACCGTTACTCTGTGCAACGTCGTGGTGGTTGGATGTCTACCAAAAAAGGTGCAGCGCTGCAAGAAGTCATGCATGATGATGATGAAAGACTACGCTCGGCTTCCTTTGGCGCTGCACTGCTGGTTGGAGGAGCAGTTGAACACGCTGAAAAACTAGACTCTTTGAGGCCGCGCAATGCTGCCGCCGCCTCCGCTCCCTTGCAGTTCCCGTGCAAAGCGTGTGCTACGCCTCCCAACGCAGCAGAGTAGGTGACACATCATGTTATGGGTGATATGGGTGAGATTTGAGCCGCCGTGCATCTGCTTACCCACGCTCGTGTGCAGTCAGACTCCAGACGGCTCTGGCATCAGACACTAGGAAACTGAGAAACAGAGCGCGGGGGGGATCATGGAAGTTGTACGTGAATGATCTATGCGCGCTCGTAATTAGTTGTTCGGCTCCCCGTGGCCTGACCCAAGCCATTTTTCATTCCTTCATATCGGCTGAGATTTGAGCCGCCGTGCATCTGCTTACCCACGCTCGTGTGCAGTCAGACTCCAGACGGCTCTGGCATCAGACACTAGGAAACTGAGAAACAGAGCGCGGGGGGGATCACGATCGTCCCCGCTGTCGATCTCACGCGATCGATCCCACTATCGACCTCGCGGCCACTCTTCGTACCGATGGATTCAGTGATCGGCCCCATGTTTAATCCCACCAGCGATTCGAGATTCTATTATCGATCATACAACCAATGTCGCAATCAATTTCGCAGTCGTTTTTTCTATATCAGTATCCATCCCATTCAAGTGGTTTCGTTGTCGATCCAAGTATCGACTTCACTTAAGGTACCAAGGCGGGATATCCCCGGCCACCGCCCGCCCGCCGCCGACGGGACATCGACGGGGCACCAACGGGACACCAACGGGACAACACAGGACACCACGGCGGGACACTCGGGGCCACCGCGCCCACTTGGGGCGTAGGGGCGGTCCACTGCATCCGAATTGCTTTCGCGACGTCGGGGTCAGTCCCCTCGCGCGCCCACGCAGCTCGCTTTGCCCGCACGCACGACACGAACACGAAACCGAAACAGATTTCCTGGTGGGGGGCTGTCCGTTCAATTGTGATCTCACCCGCCAACGTCGAATGGTTCACGCCACATACAGAAATACGTTCGCTCCCACCACGTATTGTGCACCACGTCGCGCACACCACGTAGCTCACATCACATAGTTTGCCCCACGCATATTGCACCATTGATATTGCAACACGTCCATTTCACATTCGAGATGGCTAGAAATACACTATTTGTGATCTGCGCTTGGTTAACACCATCATTATACAGAGCCCAGCCGCCTTGAAAGGCGAGCTGGGGCCATCACCCCGATGAGCTCTGAGTTCGGCCCGTAGGCCGACCCATCCCAAAACTAGAGTTATTAGTACATTCGATAAACCAGCAAAGCCAACGCGCAACAACAGGCCTTACAGGAGCAAAGCAAACGGCTCGAACATCAAGAAGAGGCCAGCCTTTACAGGTTGCGACAATTTTCCGCGGGTTGGTCGGCGTGTCTTCTGTGCCTAGTCGGTGCGCATGGTGTGCCCGCTCGGTGTGCCTGGTGTGCTAGGCGTACCTGGTCGCCTGGTGTGCCTCGGCGGTGTGCCTGTTGTGCCTGGTCGGTGTGCCTGTTGTGCCTGGTGTGCCTGGTCGGTGTGCCTGTTGCGCCTGGTAGGTGTGAGCGGTGTGCCTTGTGTGCCTAGTCCATGTGCCTCCTGATGTGCCTGGTGTGCCTGGTCGGTGTGGTCGGTGTGCCTGGGCGGTGTGCCTGGTGTGACTGGTCGTTGTCCCTGGTGTGCCTGTTATTGTGCCTTGTGTGCCTGGTCGGCGTACCCGGTGTGCCTGGTGGGTGTGCATGTTGGGACTGATCGGTGTGCCTGGTATGCTTCAGCTGTGTGCCTCTTACGCCTGGTCGGTGTGCCTGGTGTGCCTGGTGAGTGTGCCTGGTGTGCCCTGTCTGTGCGCCTGGTGTGCCTGGTCGGTTTGCTTGTTGTGTCTGGTGTGCCTGGTCGGTGTGTGTGTGGTGTGCCTGGCGTGCCTGGTGTGCCTGGTCCGTGTGCCTGGTGTGCCTGGTCGTTGTGTCCGGTGTGCCCGGTGTGCCTGATGTGTCTTGTCGGTGTGCCTCTTAGGCCTGGTGTGTGTGCTTGGTGTGCTAGGCATGCGCGCCTAGTGTGCATGGTGTACCTGGTCGGGGCGCCTGGTGTGCCTGCGGGTGTGCCTGGTGTGCCTGGTCCGTGTGCCTGTTGTGCCTGATCGGTGTGCCTGGTCGGTGTGCCTGGTGTGCCGGGTCAATGTTATTTGGTCTGCCTGGTCCGTGTGCCTGGCGTGCCTCGTCGGTGGGCCTCATGCGCCTGCTGCGCCTGGTGATCATCACCATCACTTCTTTCATCATCACGGCTGTCACCTTTCAGCCCATGATTTCCATCCGTCTCGTCGCCACCATCATCCATCTTAGGATCAGCATCGTCAGTGTGCCGCCTCAAGCCGCATCGCCAAGCCTCAGAACCAGCATCAGATCATCACCACTACCAGCTATATCATCATCACCTTCACCCATCTCATCGTCGCCATCATTCATCCATTTTGAGCACTTCCATCCTTCTAGTAATCATTCAGATGATGACGCCCAGACCTGCAGGAATGCAGGTCTGGGGTGCTGTGCGCGAGAGGCTGTAGCGGGACAATTGGTTTGTTCTGTATCGCAATTGTTTGTTTGGGCCCAAAAATTGCGGGCGGGCGGACGGGCGGGATGTTTGTTCGAGCGCGGGAGGGTGTCACGCGTGGACACCACTTGTTATTGCCATCACATGGGCTGCAACACATCGATTGCACCACATCGGTTGCACCAGACAGAGTGCATCCCAGACATTGTGCCAGACCGAGTGCACGTGACATGTGCAATAACACGTTCTTCGGGCTTCACGCTGGCAAACGCGCCAGGTAAAGCATGTATCAACCCCAGCTTGTCGTGTGGGGCTTTGAGTTATTTGAGTTGCTTGGCTCTCTCGAAAACGTCTTGGGGCACAAGTTTGTGGAGCCGTTTTGGGGATTCTTCGAGGCCATCTTGAGCCTGTTTGTGGTCTTGGGGTCCTGTGTTTGTGTTTTGGAGCCTTTCTTGAAACCGTTCAGGCATTCTTGTACTTTTGGTTGTGTCTTGGTCGGAATATTGGGGCAACGTGTGACGGCCACAGGATCTGATCCAACGGCCTTCATGTTCTTTTCGATTGGCCATTCGCCACGGTGTCGCCCCAGAATGGGTACACAGAACTGGAGGGAGAGAGAGACAGAGAACAAGAGAGAAAGAGAGATACAGAGACAGAGAGTGGTCAGGAACCATGGAAAACTATAAGGGTTGAATTCAATAGATTAGCAGCGCATCAGCCCATGGACCATCACCGTCTGGTGTTACCAGGGGGCAAGCGGACATCCAGTTCCAGCTCCAGCAGTACAGTGTCTTCAACCACCAGGACTGCGACCACTGCAACAACCACGAGCGAGAGTTCCAGCACGACGGTGTCTTCATTTACTGTGAGTACAACCAGCGAGAGTTCCAGCACGACTTGGTCCTCGACCACTGGGACATCAACGACAACCAGTGTGAGTTCCAGCACGACGCTGTCCACGACCTCTACAAGTTCATCCACACGAACGTCGACAACAGTAAGTGCAACCACCGAGAGTTCCAGCACAACGGTGTCCTCAACCAGTGGGACCCTAACAACAGTGAGCACAACCTCCGAGAGTTCCAGCACGACCGGGTCTACGACTTCTGCAAGTGCAACCACAGTGAGTTCAAGTTCTAGGAGTTCCAGCACAACGGTGTCCTCAACCAGTGGGACCCTAACAACAGTGAGCACAACCTCCGAGAGTTCCAGCACGACCGGGTCTACGACTTCTGCAAGTGCAACCACAGTGAGTTCAAGTTCTAGGAGTTCCAGCACAACGGTGTCCTCAACCAGTGGGACCCTAACAACAGTGAGCACAACCTCCGAGAGTTCAAGCTCCAGCAGTACGGTGTCCTCAACCACCAGGACAGCGACCACTGCAACAACCACGAGCGAGAGTTCCAGCACGACGGTGTCTTCATTTACTGTGAGTACAACCAGCGAGAGTTCCAGCACGACCTGGTCTGCGACGTCGGGGAGTTCAACCACTGCCAGTACAAGTAGCGAGAGCTCCAGCACGACTGGGTCCTCGAGCACTGCGAGCTCAATCTCTGCAAGTTCAATCACGGTGAGCACCACCAGCGAAAGTTCCAGCACGACTTGGTCCTCGACCACTGGGACCTCAACTACAACCAGTGTGAGTTTCAGTACGACGCTGTCGACGACCTCCACAAGTTTATCCACACGAACGTCGACAACAGTAAGTGCAACCACCGAGAGTTCCAGCACAACGGTGTCCTCAACCAGTGGGACCCTAACAACAGTGAGCACAACCTCCGAGAGTTCCAGCACGACCGGGTCTACGACTTCTGCAAGTTCAACCACAGTGAGTTCAAGTTCTAGGAGTTCCAGCACAACGGTGTCCTCAACCAGTGGGACCCTAACAACAGTGAGTACAATCTCCGAGAGTTCAAGCTCCAGCAGTACGGTGTCCTCAACCACCAGGACAGCGACCACTGCA